TCAGGAGAGGTAGGAGCTCCGGCGGAGGAGGAAAGAAGACGAGAGAAACTATAGAGGTCAGTTCTCAGTCTGTGGACTTTTTCAGCTATTCTGTTCTCAAGTACTGTCCCTAGTCAGATTCTGCATTTAGCCAAGTCTGAACCCCATTTACTTAGAATCCAACTTCATTTTGTCTGTCGCATCATTGCATTTTTTGTCATTGCACACAGAGCAATGCAGAATAACAGCCTGGCAGGTTTTACAAGGTTTTTTTCAGTCTCAAAGTCTGAATTGCAAAGCAGTGAGTCTTTTTGAATCAGCCACTAGTTCCTCTACTGCTATCCCAATCAGCAATTTGGCCGTTGCCCAGTAGAGACACTCCATGGTAGGATTTTATGACTGAACTATATGACGAGGACACACACTTTTTATTTCTCATTTTCAACTCACAGATAGTGAGCAGAGATACTAAAACCTGAAACCTGACATGTAGACTGTTTAGTGTGGTGTGGCTGTTCTGCCGGTGTATAGTGTAACTGGGCAGAGGTCATAAGTAATATATTTCTCAGAAACATAGGTCATTAACTCCCCCTTTGGATATAATATTTGTTGCTTCCAGATTGGTTTGTTGAGAATGCCCAAAGTTGCCCTGATCAAGAGGTAAAGTGAAGGTTTGTGATGTTTCCCCTGGACATTTCACTCCTTTCTCAGAAATGAATAAATGCATATGACATAAAATTAACAGAGCGATAGTGTAGTTTATGAGATTAAATTAAATGTTATTGTATATACAGTACAGGGAGAACAGCAGTGGTGCCGCCAGAAAGTGCTGGCCTGATGGGGCAACTGAAAACCAAAAGCTGGGGGTGAGGGGTGTGATGCAGTGACGGACAGCGTATTGCAATTTGTTATTTTCCTTCCCAATTAGATTATGAAAGTATACCATGAAATGATTAATGGACTAGTAAAACCAATGTAAAATACAATAGAAGCATCATGCATAATATGGCTTCTATTCTGATAATTTGGGGCAGAATCTGTGAAACGCCATCTCCAAACAGTCAATGTGGGATGAAGGTGTCAGAAAAAGTTCCAGCGAAGTGGATTGCTTTGAGTTTGAGAGGCAATTTGCCCACCACAAACAAAAATGTACAGTGTCGTGAGCAGGTGAGAGGTGGAGGGAAGGAGAAAGAGAGCAGGAAAGGAACACAAAAGAAAAGGAAATGTGAGGGGAAAGGAGGCGAGGTACAAAAGAGATGGTAGGAAAAAGGGAAGGGAGGAAAATAAAAGGTCACCATGTCAAAAGGGAGCAAA